TGTTTGGTAAGGTGGAGGGTCAGAGAAAAAGAGGAAGACCCCCAATGAGATGGATTGGCCAAGTGGCAGCATTGATGGACTCAAGCGTGGCAACACTAATGAGGTTAGTCCAGGATCGGGCAGTGTTTCATTCTGCTATGGGTTGGTACCAATTCAATGGCACCTAACAACGTGTCTGCCAGAAATGAGTTGTGAACAATATCTGACTGGCAGGTGTGTGTGCCTTTTCTGTAGGTGGTTTGATGAAGCAAGGTCACAGCTGTGATTACTCAGTAAGGCTAAGGAAGCTGTCTAGAATGATATGTGAGGGAGAGTGGCCACTTGGACTTATGTCTACAGATACTGCTACCTGGAAAACAGATACACAAAAGTGATCTTCAAGTGATAAGCAGCGGGTAGTATCTAGGAAGTAACTTCACAGAAAGAGTGGGTCTGTGAAGTATCTGGATCACAGGATTCATGGAGCACATTTCTGAGAACAAAGTAAGTATCCAGTAAATGGCTACCAATGGTTGTTGTTGTTGTTGCTAGGTGCCAGTACTGACTGATAGAGACCCTATGCATAACAGAACTAAATACTACCCAGTCCTGGGCCAACCTCACAACCATTGCTACGCTTCAGCCCATTGATGCTGTCACCATGCCCATCCATCTCATTGGGGTCTTAACCATGCTAAGTTAATCGGTGTTACATCAGACTCCTGGTGTGGTGCTGTAGGATAGGTGGTTCAAACCTACCAGCTGCTCCTTGGAAACCGTGTACAGAATCGCTATGAGGCAGAATCGATTTGATGGCACTTAACAACAACAGTGTTAACCAATATTCCATGGTGTGTCAAGACACAATTTTTCTCTGAATGGTTATCAATGGCTGAATTTTTGTAAGTAAGTCACCAGGCCTTTCTTCTGAAGTGCCTCTGAGTGGACTCAGAGCTCTCACCGTTTGGTTAGCTGCCAAGCACATTAACTGGTTGCAGTATCCAGCATCCCTCTATGTTATTTAGCCTGAGCTATGGACACGCATCCTGAGCTATGTACACGCATCCTGAGCTATGTACACACATCCTGAGCTATGTACAGCGGTTCCACCACTGCCTATGGCCACGGGGTAAATGCATCTTCCAGTGATGAGGACTGGGATCTGTCTGCCCATGTTTCTTTCTGGCTTTTCACCAAATCGCAGCACAAGATCCATCAGCATCAGCAGCAGTAGTCATAGCAACTGCACTCACCTGAATCTGTGGGCAGGTAGAACACCAGGCCGGTTAGGAAGGAGAAGAGCAGGCAGGGAATGATGACATTGACAATGAAGTAGAGAGGCAGGCGCTGCATGACGAAGTGGTAGGTGATGTCCAGGTAGGGCGTGGTGGGGCAGCAGGCGTAGATCACCCGGTGCTTCCAGCCCCGGGCCTCCTTGATCACCCACTCTCCGCTCTCCATGAAGTTGCTCAGGTCTGGCTGGTCACTTTCCTGAAAAGGTGGGATGAGTTTCGAAAGCCCAGCCAAGTCACCCAAATCAGCTGCAACAAGGTTACAGGCTCCTGCTCCAGCTTTGCCGGTCACAGGCCTACAACGGAACCTGAGGCATTTCTGCTTTGGGAGCTTTAGTTCCGATCCTAAATTGGTCAGTTGGGATTCTCCAATTTGTCTACACTTTTCAGTAGGAGGTTTTCATTTGATGGGTGTTGTAGAAATAGTCAAGATGGCCTCTGACTATTGGTCCAGGCTATTTCTTCATAACAGACTGAGACCCATTAGCCCAAATGCCCTCTTTTGTCAAACTCTAAAATTGTATACATCCTATTCTCTGGTAGCATAGTGGCTACGAATTGGGCTGCGAACCGCAAGGTCAGCAGTTCTAAACTACCAGCTGTTCTGCAGGAGAAAGATGGGGCTTTCTGCTCCTGTAAAGATTTACAGCCTCGGAAACCCTGTACAAGGTCGCTATGAGTTAGAACCGACTCCACGGCACATAACCACCAACCACCATTGTTTAAAAAGCAGCTCAAATAGCCAAAGCTGTAGCTATTGAAAGTCTGCCTACCTTGCATATCCCTCAAAGCCACACCAAGTTGATTCCAACTCATGGTAACCCCACATGTGTCAGAGTAGAACTGTGTTCCATAGGGTTTTCAAGAGTTCATTTTTCCAAAGTAGATCACCAGGTCTTTCTTCTGAGGTACAGCTGGGTGGACTCCAAACTTTCAATTAGCAGCTGAATGCATTAACCTTTTGTATCACCCAGGGACTCCTCTGTTAGCCACGGATAAGATAAACCCCATAGTTATAAAGACCCCGTGCTGCTGCTGCCCTTTGGCACTCTGACCCAGAGATTCTCCACCTTGTTTCTGAGGGACGTCTCCTAGATATATAGGCTCCTTCCTCTGCTCCACTTGCCTTCTTCCCTTCCTGGTGGGCCCCTCCCTGGAAGATCTCATTGCTGCAGACTTCTACTTGCAAATTTGTCAAAACCTTGCAACAGTGCCATCTTGTGGTTAGATCTTTTTGCTTGCTCAGCCTCCAAACCCCTTGGATTCACTAAGGTTTACACCCACCCCCAGAAGGATTAAACTAGAATCCTTGGAGCTAAATCTGGGCACTAGGTAGTCACTTAAGCTCCCAGTTTGTTCTCTTGTGTAGTGTATCAATTACCTCTTCAACCAACTGAAGAACCATCAGACTAAAAGATTCCCAAAGTTTAACCTGGGTTTTGCATCAGAGGATTCCAGTTCTACTCCCTGCTGAAAATTTGTCTTTCCACCCCAGGACAGGCAAATTTTATATATATTATAAAATTTATATATTGATATATGAGATATATGCTATATATTTTAACACAGATTCTGATTCAATGTATCTGAGGAAGAAAGGTAATTTCTCAGCAGCGGATAGAACCCAAGTGAACTGGTTGGAAGTCCTGTTTCTAACTGGTGCTGAGCATCTCTGATTCTAGACAGGCAGAAGTCAGAGACCTGAATGGTACCTTTCCTGAATCCAGCCTCATCACATGAGACCACCACATACCGCGTTGATGGCTACTACAGAGCCGTCATAGGTCCAGGTGCCCAGCTTCATGCTACAGTTCTGCTCGTCAAAGGGGAAGTGGGTGACAATGATCTCACAGTAGCTTTTAAAGATGGCTGGAGGTGTCCACGTGATGTGGCCAGTGTGGTCCAGGAGCACTTTGGTGAACTTGACAATGGCAAAGTCACCATCTGCACTACAGTTGAGATAAAAGAGGTACATGGTTTCAAGTGACAGATGAGTCTTCAATTCTGCTTGGGGATGTTAACAGAGGATAGCTGTTAATTAGTCAGGTGCTAATTATAGAAGCTTTCTTTTGGACAGTGCTACTGTTTTATTTTTCACAATATTTCTGAAATTTGTCTGATAATAAGAATCACTGGGGTGCTGAAAGAAAGAAAAGATACTGGGAATATACTTTATATAAAGAAAAAATACTCAGAATACTAAGGGAGAGATTCTGGGAATTTACATTTTAGAAGAAGTAGCAGGTAACACTGATTCACTACATCCAGATTCTTTTCTTCCCAGTACAAAGATTCCAAATTTGTTTTATTGATCTCCATCTGTCCGTTCCTCAATATACAAGTGGGCTACAAAAAGTCTGTGGAAAAAATGAAATTGAAAGGTAATGGAATCTTCCATGAACCTTTTGAAGCCTCCTTGTACTTTGAGAACTGGCTAAGGAAAAAATAAGATTGTTTAGTAAAGTTGCCATGCCCCTGCAGGGCTCATTACTATTATATGCAGGTGAAGAAAAAGGTCCACTACCTTTACAAACTGCACGGTAGGGTCATGTCCAGGGCCGGACAGGTGAGGAGTGAGTTACGGTGAGTGAGTGGAGCCAGGTTCTCATCAGAAGCCCCACTCAGCTCTGCCCACAGTGTCACTGGGAGTAGAAGCTCCAAGGGGCCAGATGTTTAAATTCTTCAAGAAAGACTGGAAATCCAGATTTTTTTTTTTCCATACAAAATGGCCAGGTTTTTAAAAAATGTTTGGATTTTTAGAGACTCAAGATTCAGCTAATAGTTCCTGATTTTCAATTGCTGGCAATAATTTCTTGTTCTCTCTCTCTCTCTTTTTAGGGTAGGTGCTAAAAGATGACAAAAAAACAGTCTGCAGGCCTCATTCAGTGAGTAGTTCACACTTCCTGTAAACAACCTGTGTTCAAGGCAGAGAGCAGTCTTAGAACAGGGGTCCAGGGCAGGCTGGAGTCTGTTGCAATGGGGTTTATTTGAGGGGTCTAAGGTTGGGCCCTCACCTTGTAAGGCAAGGAGTTGCTTCTTAAAGATTTTTCCTTGGAACTGAGAGGAAAACCATGTGGCTTTGGGGCCCTCCCAGAAGAGTCTGTAAGGTGCCTTAATAAGTTGCAATAGGGCTGATTCTGAGCTGTACCACCCCAATGTGTATCAAAGTAGAACTGTGCTCTGCCGAGTTTTCAATGGCTGGTTTTTTGGAAGAGGTTTTCTAGGCCTTCCTTTTGAGGTGCCTTTGGGTGGACTCAAACTGCAAACCTTGCACTGAGCAGCTGCGCACATTAACTGCTTACATCACCCAGGGACTCCATAGAGGGCCTTTAGGACTGGCTAAGCCTTTCCATGAATGAAGGTGAAACAGGGTTCCCTCCCCTTTTGGTGTTCCTGGGTGAACTTGCCAAAAGGCCCAGAGGATTTTAATGAGTCCCCTCAGCTTTTTACCAAAAAAGAAACTTCACACAAGACATTCTGATCTATCAACACACTTGTCTGAAAAGGTTACACAGATGATTGGGTAATTTGACTCACGACAGAATCCCAAGTATAACTGGAAAATATGTGGTAGAAAATGAACGTTGTTGGACTGTCTGACTTCAAGGGTATCATTTTCATTCCATAGCCCTCGTCACCTTCCCTGGTATGCGTGAGAATGAGCCTCCTGCTCTTCCGGCCCAGACACATGTTGTAGAATGTCAGCCCGTAAATCCTTCAGGCCCATGTTGAATGCCCCTCCCTGCCTGGGACGGATACTCTTTGAAATGAACATTCCCTGACAAATGAAGGGCATATGATAATGAGCGTGTCATTAAATGGAGCGTTTTGACTCATATTATCATTTCACAACATGCAGCCTGTCAGGGAGCCCGGCGGATGGGGATGAAGCAGGCGTCCAGGGCCTTCAGCAACGCAGGGCGTCTTGGGATGCCCTGCTAGATGTGATGGATAACAACCCCCGGAGGCTCCGACCCATTTGGTAGAAAAGACACTGAATTCCAGGGAACTGAATTATATCAAGCTTGGGTTCCTTGGATAGTTGCCACACACCCTTCAGGAGCCCTCAGGATTAAATGTCCCCCACCCCACCCCCCGATTCAATTTGGCTCCGATAATTGTTTCTATTCATAACATGAGACACCATATGGCACCCCTAGCATGTCAGCTTGGCTCTTGGTTTTTGAGGTTATTTAATGTTAACGGCAGTGAGACGCATGCAAGCGGCTTCCGCTAGGGGGCTCCGGAGTGGTCCTCCCTGCCCCTCACCCCATCTGTCTTGCTTACTTGTTATAAAGAACGAGGTCTGGGCGCCAGATCTTTTCGGAGGGAACATGGATTTTTTTCACACCACCATAGTCGTCTGGATTCCATTTAAGGTTGTAATCCACCCATTGCTAGAAGCGAAGACGTTTAGTTAATTAAAAAGCTAAAAACTTTTTTTTTTTTTAATGTAGGGATATCAAGAGCTCTGAGGGGACATTCAAACTTTGACAGAATTGCACTCCTGTAAGAAACGTTTGGTTCAGAATTCAGCTTTCACTTTGATGGTGGTTGTGTGTTGGCTAGTTGGTTCTGACTCATAGTGACCCTGATAAGGTTTCTGAGGCTGTAAATCTATACTGGAGCAGAAAGTCTCATCTTTCTCCTGTGGAACAGCTGGTAGATTCAAACTGATGACCTGTGGTTAGCAGCCAGCTTGTAATCCACCACATACCAGTGTTCACTTTAGCAGACAGTGTTGTTGTTTTTAAGTTCCATTGAGTGGGTTCTGACTCACATCGATCTGGTATAGGGTTTCCAGGGAGTGACTGGTGAGTTTGAACTGCTGACCTTGCAGTTCAAACTGACCTTGCAGTCCAGTGCTTATCCTACAGCGCCACACCAAGACAATAATAGCTAACATATAAACAGCCCAAACTTTGTGCAGATACCATGTTCTAGGCACTTTCCCTATATTAACTAATTGAATCCTCACAACAATTCTGCAAGGAAGGAGCAATCATAGACCCCATTTTTACAGATGAGGAAACAAAGGGACCCCCAAGATAATGCAGCTGGCAACATCGTATAAAATCATCAATAAATGTTTTTCTCTATATTGTTTTGTTCTTAGTTTTGCCTTTGAATTGATTCGAACTCAAAGCAACTCCATGTGTATACAGTAGAATGGCTCCCTGGGGTTTTCAAGGTTTCAGGAAGCAGGTCACCAGGCTTACCTTCTGAGGCACCTCTAGATGAGTTTGAACTGCCGACCTTTCAGCTAGTAGCTAAGTGCTTAGCCATTTGCACCACCCAGGGACTCTTTATATATATTCTCAATACAGCAAAATTGTATAGCTCAGAAAAAGCTCACAGTGGAGGAAAAAAAATGCCCTATAATCCCTACACCCTAAAATATCCACTTTCAATATTGTGGTATACAAATATATCAGTGTAAACTGAACTGATTTCCTTTATTCCCTTGGGTCCAGAGTGAATAAAACAATACAATGCATCAAGTGGAATTACCTGTTTCAGTCGAACATTGGTGGTTACGATCTGATTGACTTCATCCTGAAAAAGAGACAAGGCACATCATTTGTGGGCAGAGAGGGACGCCACGGGGAGTAGGTCCCAGAGGCAAGGTATGGGTGCCGTGAGCTATCCCCACTCACCACATTGATGAGCTGAACCAGCTGCAAGCCCACGGTGACCTCTACAACCTGGCGGTGGTCTTCCACGGGCCGCACCACGCTGTTATAATTTTCAAAGAGCTTTGCCACCAGACGAGTCTCATGCTCGGAGCCCAGGATGAGGCCAGCTGAGATAAGAGAAAGCACACATGTCATCAGGTTCCGTTTCAGCATCGCATCCACCCTAATGTGAGTAACTGAGGAGAAGCCAGATAATGGTAGGCTAATGGCTCCCTAACGCAGCAACTGTTATTGCCTTAAATTTCTCTCTGAGTAACATCTGCTGTTCTGGTCTCTTCCCAGGCAACAGCGGGGGTGTACCAGATTATCCCAACACTTGTACTTTAGACAGGTGAAATTCTTTAACACAACTCCTCACTGAAACAAGTTTGTTAGGACACGGCACACACAAGAAGAAAGGTAAACACAAAAGCCAGTCTTGGTGAGTCACAGACTAGTCTCAGCTCTCATGACATCCTGAATTGCTGCTGGCTGGTACATGTCCCCGTTACGTTGTTAAGATAGAGTGAAATCAAGTGAAAAGTAGTCGACTTTATTGACTGGGGCTTGGGGTTCCTATTTGGAACTTGAGTTTGGTTCTTCAGAATTGAGAGAAATATCATTTTCCACTTTTAGTATCCTCAGTCCTTTTAAATCCAATTATTTTTTAAATCCTCACTTAGCCTCAAATGGTTAATGTGATTGGATGCTAATAAAAAAAGTTGGTAGTTCAAGTCCACCCAAAAGTGACTTGGAAGAAAAGCCTCATCTTCTACTTTCAAAAACTCAGCCGATGAAAACCTTATGAGGACAGGGGAGGAACTAGATGTGGAGCTAATCTCCTCCTTTGCCATGAGACCAGAAGAAGTGGATGGTGCCTAGTACCATTACTAAACATTTTGATAAAATATTTTACAGAAGAATTCTGATCAAAAGGGAGAAAATGCAGAACAGAAATTCAAACTTCCATGCACTTCAGACTTTCTGGAGCCACGAAAGTTAGATGAGCCCCTGAAACTATTGCCCTGAGATCTTTAAACCTGAAATCAAAAATATCCCCTGAGGTCTTCTTAAAACCAAACAATAGTTTATCTTTTTTGTTGTTGTTTTTTTCCAGCCTTGGGTTTATTTGTACAAATAGCACAGGAGGACACCATGCAGATGGTAGCCCAAAGGGTTATGCCAGTCACTCTGTCCTCAGATGGAGAACGCTAGTCCATCTTTGTGGGGGCCTGGGCTCCTTTGGGAGCCTGAGTTGAGGCCTTGGCTGGGGTTGGAGTTGAGGCCTTGACAGGGGCTAGAGTTAAGGCCTTGGCTGAAGCTTCAGCCTTAGTTTGAGCACTGGCCTTGGACTTTGGCCAACAGAGCCTCAGACACTTGGCAATGCGTGCCCGAGCACGCTTCCCCTGCTTGGGACAGGCAATGTAGGCCAGTTGACTGAGCTTGAGGTTGACACCCTTTAAGATCTTAGGCTTGACCTCCTTGGGCTTTACGAGAGCCTTGATAGCCTCGGCACGTGCATCCATGGCCTTGGCGTGGTTGGCCTGCATCTTCTTCAGACACTTCTTGTTGTGCTTCTTGGCAAAGCGCATATTCCTCAGAAACTTGGGGTCCACCCCTTGAGAGACTCATATCATTATGATTGGGGTTTCTTGATACCATTTCTGCGCCATTTTCAGGACTGGTTGTGCGTGGTGTGGTTCTTGGACTTGGCTGTGTCTGCACCAATGCCCACAGCTCCCCGGGACCGGAAGAGAGACAATAGTTTATCTTAACTAGTAAGGACAATCTGCCTTGAGCATTGTACTCAAGCTCTATCTACTCACCAGCCGCTCCTCAGAAACCCTACCAGGGTTGCTATGAGTTGGAAATGACTTGAGAGCGCTTAACAACAATAACATATGAGATCAAAGTGAGGCGCTATAGGATGAGTACTAGACAAGGCCGGCATTTTAAACCCACCAGTTACTCCTTGGAAATCCTATACAGGGTCTCTATGAGTCAGAACTGACTTGATGGCGCTTAACAACAGCATGTGAGATCACATTGACAATGGCAATTTGAAAGATTAGATAGGAACTTAGGGGGCAGTGAATGCTTGTTAATGGGGAAGAGTAAGAATCGTTACAGAACTCAAGGAATGTAATCAGTGACACTGAATTGTACGTGTAGAAACTGGTGGATTGGTATTTGTTTTACTGTGTCTGTTCTCAACAACAACAGAAGTAAAATTGTAAAAAGAAAACCCTGTGGGGCGCAGTTCTATTCTGGCACACACGGGGCTACCACAGTGCTGTCTCTCAAGGTGTGTGAGGCCCTGACTGCACCAGGTGACATTGTCAGAGGGGGTGACAATCAAGCCACTGTCTGTAATTTTTTGTGCAGTGTTCAGCAGAAAATTTGTTTTTAATAAAGATATCCCTGTAGTTAGTTATAATAACAAAAACATTTTTGCAAGCCCATGTATTAATATGCCTAAAGATTAAAGGTTCATGTTGATTTACTTTTGGAAGCTTCTAATGTGCTCTGGGCGGAGCTGTCATTATTACCCAACTACAAAGATGCTTTGAATCATGTGATCTGCTGCCATTGTTTTCATAATCATGGATTTTATCAAATACTCTGGTGTTTTAACTGCAGGATTATGGTAATTAGTATTTGTGAACCTACATCAAGAACTTTTGGGGAGTGAAATAGTAATTAGAGGAAAAGGAGAAAAAAAATTTAAATCTTCTGCTCAGTAATATTGTAACTGAGAAAGTAATTCAACATAGACAGATTTTCCAAAATAATAATGGTATTATTATTCATATAAAAATATTACATTTGAGCACCTTACAAGTATATTTATCTTGTATGAATCGAAACTGACTCGATGGCACTTAACAACAACAACCCTATGACTAAGACTGACAATAAACATCACCTTGGACTCTGTATGGTCTGTACAGAGGAGGCCCATGGAGGGGAGGGATGATTCCATGAGTTACCGCACTGGGTGACACCAACACTAATGATGTCACTGGGTCACCATGAGTTGGAACTGACCTGATGGCAACTGGTTTCTTGTTTGGTTGGTTGGTGTTAGCCTGGGGTGAGGCAGTAGGCCCTTATTCTTCCCTGAGATTCAGGAAGGATAAATGACTTGCCCAAGGTCATGCAGTAAAGACAAAGCTGTCATTCTACTTTGTGTCCCTGAGCTAACTCTTTTTAGCATGAGTGTGTTGTGCGCTACCCTGGTAACTGCACTGCAGCATGTACATGAGAAAACGTGCTCCAAATTCCAACAAGTATCTTATGACGATCTACGTAACTCAACCCTTACATGGACTGGGGGCTTGTGAGAGGAAGCAGACAAGAGTTTGTCAACAAAACAACTAAAAATGAACTGTTCTTGTTGCTAAGTGCTTGGTGACTAGTCAAAAGGTTGGCAGTTTGAATCCATCCAGAAGTACCCTCAGAAGACAGGGCTTTTGGTGTGCTTCCAGAGGGTCAGAGCCTTGAAAAGCCTCTGGAGCAGTCTTACTCGGCACACATGGGGTTGCCATGAGTTGGAACTGTCTGAACAACAACTAATAACAGCAAAATCCAGAGAAAAGTTTCCTTATCAGACTATTCTAAGGATTAAATTAAATAACACAAAGATGGTGGTGGTGGTATTTATGTGCCAATGAGTCGGTTCCGACTTACAGTGACCCTATATAGGTTCTCCAAGGCTGTTAGCAGTCCAATGCTTATCTTACAGGACCACATCAGGACTTTTTCCCTATTTCTATTAATCTAAAAAATCAAAGCTAACACATCCAGCTTGCTATGTATAAGATACTTTTTTAAGTGTTTTGCATATATTAAGACTTTTAATCCTCACAACTGGGAGGCATAGGTACTATTATTGCCCCCACTTTACGAATGAGAAAGTTGAGGCACAAAGAGATAACTTAACCCAGATTTCATAAGTGGTGGATACGGGATTCAAACCCAGAACGTATGTTCTCAACCACTATTTTCCACTACTTTTCATTCAGAATTTAGGAACAGCATAAAATAACCCATGTGATTTAGTGAATTGATACATTTTTCATTCCTCCAAAATGTGTGGGGCTGTAGGATAAGCACTGGCCTGCTAACCACAAGGTCATCAGTTTGAACCCACAGTCACTCCTTGGAAACCCTACACAGGATTGCTATGAGTCAGAACCAAAGAGACAACACTTAAGAACAATTAGCCCATAGAGCTTTATGAAAGGCCCGAGCTCTGGTAGCATAGTGGTTATGAATTGGGCTGTGCACCTCAAGGTCAGCAGTTTGAAGCTACCAGCTGTTCCGCAGGAGAAAGATGAGGCATTCTGCTCCTGTAAAGATTTACAGCCTCGGAAACCCTGTACAGGGTCGCTATGAGTTGATTCCAACTCCACGGCACATAACCACCACCACCATCTTTGTATTATTTTATTTAATCCTTACAATAATCCTGTGTGGTAAATTTTTATTTGTACTTTTGTTGTTATTAGTTGTTGAGTCAATTCCAACTCATGAGGACCCCATGTGTGCCGAGTATGACTGCTCCATAGGGTTTTCATGGCCGTGACGCTCTGGAAGCTGATTGAAAGCCCTGTCTTCTGAGGGTACTTCTGGATGGATTCCAACTGCCAACCTTTTGACTAGTCACCAAGCACTTGACCACTGTGACACCCAGGGTCTCCTGAGTCCCTCTCGAGTCCCTGGGTAATTCAGTTAATATACTTGCCTGCTAATTGGATACTTGGAGGCTCAAGTCTAATTAGAGGCATATGAGAAGAAAGGTCTAGCAATCTACTGCCAAAAAGCAGAGTTCCACTCTGACATAAGTGGGGTCACCAGGAGCAGATGTGAAATTCAGCTTCAGAGGGTTAAGCATTGTATTCATGATCTCCCAGCTAATTCAGGGTGGGCCCACCTGATCCCATAAGGATTTTTAAAGCATTACATGTATCTTCATTGTTACCTCCATGGACTCCTGGTAGAGAACCCCTAGCTGAGCCTACCTCCTTAGTTCTATTCCCCCAATTTTTTTAAGCTAAAAGGTACCAAGCAGGTCCAAGGTGTCAAGCTACATGGGACTTTGTAAAATTTTCAAACTGACGTTGTG